TTCTGGGCTATTGAATTTTTAGTGCTATTGTCAGGAGAAGGGTAGCCTAACATATCTCGTGCTTAATGTAGCCCGGACGGTACTTACTCTAAGATAAAGTTTAATTAAAGGAGTTGTTACTTTATAGGAAAAATTATGTAATTAATGGAGAGAGAGAGAGAGAGAGAGAGAGAGAGAGAGAGAGAGACATAATGTATCACTCCGCGTATAATATAATGTATCACTCCGCGTATAATATAATGTATCACTCCGCGTATAATATAATGTATCACTCCGCGTATAATATAATGTATCACCCAAGGTATATTATAATGTATCACCAAGTGTATAATATAATGTATCACTCCGCGTATAATATAATGTATCACTCCGCGTATAATATAATGTATCACTCCGCGTATAATATAATGTATCACTCCGCGTATAATATAATGTATCACTCCGCGTATAATATAATGTATCACTCCGCGTATACTAGTTTTGGGAAAGCTATATATAGTCTGTGTTTGTATTTGTCTGCAGTGTACTGATGACTGGCAGTGAGGTAGTGAGTGTGGCGTTAGGTTTCGAAATAGGTGTGAGATGAGGCTTTGAATTACAGCAACCGGTGAGTAAAATATGGGGTGTGGAGAGTGACCCACGGCTCTGTTCCTCCTCCTGCTGTTGTTGTTTTTGGTGCAGCTGTTTGTAGCGTTTTATGACGGGTTGTTGAATCACGTAATTATGCGTGTGTGTGTGTGTGTGTGTGTGTGTGTGTGTGTGTGTGTGTAAGGGTCGCCGCACCTCTTCAGTTGGTTACTATACCGCACCCTTTGTCTCACACACACACACACACACCGTAAAAGGTTGTTGGTGTGTAGTCATTAGCATATCGTTGACACCCGGATACACACACACACACACACACTCGCGTTAGGTGGAAATGAATGCACGTCAACACAGGCTGGCGGTTGTGAGACAAACTATACCTAGTCTCGTCCAACCTAAGCTAACCTAACCTAACGTTAACTAACATCAGCCAACCATCTCTAACTTAACCGAACCTACCCGCACATAACCTAACCAAACCTAACTCTCACTAGGTCAAAGGTTTAGAGAAAGCTTAAAGTGATGGGATTTGGTCTAATTTAAGGCAATGTGATTTTCTCCAGAGGGAAATAGTGAAGTTGGATTTTACTTGGAAATAAATGCGCGCCCTTGTCCCCCCCACATATTGACCTACTGCAGCCACTACTTAAAAAGGAACCTCGATAAAACCTTGAGATACACACGGGGACATCCTGGAGACAAGTACCATCCTCCTACGTGTACCCTGGCAGAAGGTGACGGAGGCCCCACAGACTAGCGAAAACTTTGATGCATAACTTCAGTGTTTACAGTAAAATCCGTCAACCTAACCTAACCGTAAAAATTTATTTATCTCTGCTTAATTATATCATTATTTTCAGTGTTAAATAAGCATATACATTACTGATGACTTCATAAGTTAGTGAGAAATAATATATTAAGTTATTGATGAGAAAGATAGTACCTAAATATAAGTACACGGTGTAAGAATAAAATTACGAGGTGCCAGGCGGTAATTTGGGGCCGTGTGCCGCTACAGCTGTTACTGTTGACTTGTTCACGTCTGCTGATATGAATTATGTATGAAAATAAATAAGACAATGATATACCGCCGTGAGTCCCGACAGAGAAGCCCCCATCATTGAGGAAGTGAGAGACCTGGAGTTAGTGGAGTGATCGTGTCATAGTTGTGAGTTTCACCACCGGCGGCCACGAGAGGTAAAATAGCCTAGCCACTAAAATCAGGGAAATACGTGTTAGTGACAAATATATTCTTTGATATTAGTGATAAATCTGGTTTTGGAGGATTTATTGGGGATTAGATACACCAGGTTAATTTATCCGAAGATTTGCCACCCTAATGCTATTTTGAGGGAGTTAAGAGTATGTTTGGTTAGGTTAATATTACGGTGTTTTGAATCAAAAGGTGAATTAATTTTTTTTTTTTTTACGGGGATCAGCCCACCCGTGCACAGGTCACTGACCCACATCGGGGCCTTGGGGGCGAAAATGCAACAACAACTATAATAATAAAGAAATACAAAAATTAAAAAAAAAATTAGAAACAATATATGTATGTTGTGTTGTCAATAGTAAGAGAAACAATTGAGACCCTGCAATTGTGTGTAAATGAGGCAGAAAGTCAGATCATCAACCTGGGACTTGGTCACATATGGCAGCAGGGTCTACCATTAGACAACACATTATGCTTCCAATATCTTCCCAGGCGGTAGTACCTCCCTGTTTGGTAGCTGCCTAATACCTACCATTTTTATCTTAAGGTGTTTCAAACTTTTTTCAGTGTATCTGTTAATTATTAAGGTATGTCACGTGAGAGGTTAGATACAGGTCCTGATATAACAGTTTGGGTAACGAAGATCACTAATTAAAACAAGTGGGATGTGTCCCCGCTTAGTGTATGCCATCAGCTAATATTACTGAATAAATATTATACATCGCCTAACATTACTACGAAACAAAATAGACCGAGTTTTTTTATGTTATTTTTTTAGTCGTGTTAACAAGTGAGGAGCATTCATTCCCGGGAAAAGAAATACGTCCATAAAAATCTCACTCCGGCAACTGGTCAGTGAGGCAGGTGATGGAGAAGAGACCGCGGGTGAAAGATGATTCCTTCCTATACACATCTCGGCGATTTTTTTCCCGCTGTTATTTCCTTTTCGTCGTCGCTACATTCAGCTTCGGTACAAACAAGTTATTATATGATACACTGTCGGTCCGGGGATAAAAAAAAAGGTGTATAAATATAATATATAATCCCGAAATAACGAAAAATATCAACCCTAAAAAAAAAAAGGATGAAAAATGCTATATTCCCGCGGCCTCTTGCCTGAGCCCCAGGATTTGACTTTAAGATTGGGTGGTGAACATTCCCTGCCTGCTCGCGCCATCAGTGAGACCATCACTCACACAGGGACGCTTCTCTCCGTCTCCAGGCCAGCAAAAGACGCCTTTCACCATCATTAGCACCATCGCCACAACCATTCTTTGGAGGACAAACACCAACGCTTGTGCTTTTGCAATTGCGAGTTGTTTTGAGGTGCTAATGTTGTTGATGTTGCCACGTACAGTCTAACTAGATATATGACGGGGTTTAGGAGGGATACAAGCCTAACCCTAACTTATACTGCCATGACGACAGTAATAAATAACATACAAATGAAAATAGAAAACGATAAGATTTGTTTCCCGGTACATTCATAATTGATGCTGCATTTACAAGTGATTCATTTATATATCTGTTCCTATGATAACGAAATACATTAAAATTTAACTTCATTTTCCTAAAAGATCCAAATACTGCAACCTAGCTAGACAATCGACTTTAATACTACTACTACTAATAATAATACAAATAATAAAGTAATAATAAATAACCTATAGTAATATTTAACAAAAAACTCAAACCTAATAGCAGGAGGAAACAGGACAGCCTATATAACAAGTGGCTGCTACACGTCACACACACACACACACAGCCCAGCATGGTGCCTCTAGTGTTTAAAGAATATTAATTATTTCTTCCCCCAGACACTATACAGAGAAGACATCAATAAAACGTAGATATAATAAAGGTTTCGTATCCCTTTGTATTGTAGAAGGTCATATGGAAGAATATAATTTTAGCTATTTTATTACATCCAGAGAAAATAGCCAAATTCTTAAATATAAACCGTGAGTTTTATTATTATTATTGTTATTATACGGGATTAATTTCACTGCGTGTTATGTAATCAGTTGTTAAGTGTGTGCAAAGGACTGGGGCGAGATGATGCCAACGGTAATAAAACTGGTTATTGGTGCATAGTAATGTGAGGGTGGTGAATTGAAGTCTTGTAATGTATTTAATAGTGTACACGAGAGGTATCATGACGTGTAAGAGGCCACATCCCTCAACTACTTATACGGTGCGGAACTTGGCGATACCCAGACCCTATAATTACTGGTGGTGGAGGGGACAGTCGTGCGGGTGGCAGCGGGGTGGACGGGCGACCAGAGTGACGATGAATGGTGCGCGTGACTGTCGTACTGCAGTAAATGCGTTCATTGTCCCTGACGACCTGGTCTACGTTTGCTTAAGGCGGGGAAAAAAGGACTTTGTCATATCCTTCACCCTGAGGGGGAATTGATGTGACAAGGGAGTATTTTAACGTCTCCCTCCATCAATTTTTTTTTCTCTTTCATTGTCGAAAAAATATGAATATTTTCCTGATATATCGATTCCCGCGATGCAAAGAATGTCTGAGGACAAAATCAATAAATTTGTTGTATGTTAAATATTCCAGCCAAAATATCTTAAACAAAAACAGGGAAATTTTCACGAACAAGCTAGACGAGTGATTTTTAACAAGCGGTAAATTATTATTGATGATTAAGGGTAAGATACAGTGTTTTGAGCGTTGTTCCTTAAAGCCTTTCTCAAAGTACACTGTGCTGGAATTTCAGCTTTAAGCCCAACGATGGATAGCACTGTTTTCTTTCGCTCAAGTGCCCAACACCCCGCGTGAAACGAGTAGTTACAGGGGGGGGAGGGGGGGGACCAAACTTTACAAGGGTGAATCACAACCCGTTATGGGGTTTGTATTTTATCACTCCCATCTGTACCCAGCCTTCCCCCCCCCCCTGCCTCTCTAGCCTTCCTGGTCTACCACGTCTACTCCTTCCTCCCCAATAACGCTTCCTACATCTCCTCCCCTCCCCATATTCTTTCCGAAAACGCTTTCCTCCCTCTTCTTTTTCCTCATCCTTCCTTGAACGCTCCCTCCCTCTCTCTCTCTCGCCTCCTTTCTCCTCATCCTCTTCTTTTCCTCCATCCTCATCGTCCTCCCCTTTCCTGAACGCCCCCTCCCTTCCCCCTCCCATCCTTCATACCCCAGTACCCGGAGCGGATGAGAATGCTCGGCAGACGTCGACTAGTCAGTGTGGTTGGGGACGCCGTGTGAGGAGGGTGTGCTGCTGGAATCATCCTGGCCGCGTCTCGTCTGTGGTTCGCTCCGTCACAACAAACTTAAAGACCTGTGTTTTATACGGTAATCATACACTATCCGGGTGAAATCACATCGTTTATATGACGTATTGCTGGAATCTAACTTTGTGAACAACGGAATATGCAATTGTTTGTTGTAATTGTGAACTGTGGGATGAATTATGGATAGGCCAGACCCCATCAACGACACTGAGCCGAAACATTTCTGACGATATTGCCTCCATTGTTTGATGGTTAACTCTTTAGATGTGACCTCACAGCCCATGGTCCTGGTTGGAGGAAAAACACCAATATGAGAGGAAGAAAGAAGTCTACCCTGGAGGAACCGCTGACGAAGAGTAAGAAGAGGAAATAAACAATAATGAAACGGTGGCCAGAGGAACAAGTTGGGATGCGGTGTATGACGTGCTACCGGACAGTTTGCCCTGTAGTGATGCCGATTGATTGGACTCTGTGTTGACTCCTGAAAACAAAAGTGACTGATTCAAGGAATTAATTGAAATCCTTTGGCTGTGTTAATGAACAGAAAAAAATAAATATTACGCCATCAAGCAGTGCATTTACTGACGAAAAGAAGCTTAGCATTGAATGTTGATATGCAGAGAGAAACGAAGAGAACTATTGATTTTGTTGACAAAAGACGCTGGCAAAATGCATCGCCATTACAAACAAGTGATTGGTAGTTAAGGATGGTTGACGAGGCTCCTCATGAGGACTATGCCAGCTGGTAGGATATCTACAGGGGATAGCGTCGATGTGATAGCAATATGGAACGACCTCTGTCAAGGAGACGATTCAAGGATGAATGTAACGACTTCGGTTGGACACCCAGGTGAGTTCTTGTTGTAGTGGACAGTCCCGAGTTGTTGGGACCAGTTAGTAATAATGGAGGTTATTATTATTAACATTCGATGACAGTGATGTTCATAGTCACTGCGATACGTGGATTCTCTGCACTGTTTTGGTTATCTCGAGTCGCTGGACCAAGGTATTGAGTCATTGCAGTAAGCTTTCGTGAGTCACCGATACTTTATCCCGAGTTGCTCATAAGTTATCTTGAATTTCATATACATACGGTATTCAGTCGCTTGTAATTCAGTGTTCATGAAATATTGAGTCCTGAGTTACTTATCACCATGGTTGAGTGGCTTCTTTAATCACCATTGAGTCAGCTATGATTCTGAGTCACTTATATGCCACTGTGAGGTAACTACTACACTTGATTCACTTCTGAAAATGCACGAGTGTTTTGCTCTACTTATAATTAATGATTTTAAGCCATGATATTAAACCACCACAGTAGTAATTCTCTAATCCGAGTTGGGTCGTTGCCCTGAACCCTGTTGAGTAATTAGTCTTTAATTCATCAGTCTTAACTCTGTTATAATATACTCAGTCGAGTCATAATTGTAATCTCTCTCACGTCTGCTGTAATCTCCTCAAATTTGACGTGATTAATGTGTTACTTGCTATTGTATGTTTTGGTATTACTAAATTTTGAGTTACTATTTTGAGTTCCTATTATGAATCTCTTTTGTTTTCCCCTAATAGAGTCAGTACAGTAATCTATTTCCAGGAACTGCATTAATCTATTTTGGGTTGATGCAATAATCTATTTTGAGCTTGGCTGTAATCTATCCCGAGTCACAAGGCCAATCTAATTTGACACTGCCATGATATATCCCTCCATCATTATACATGCATAGCTGTGATTGTCAGTAGCGCGTCTGCATCATTTCCGCCGGGAATTATACAACCCGGGAATGGGAACACCTCCAAGGAAAGGAAAGGAAGTAAAAATAGACGAATGAGAGCAGATGTAATATGTTTATTAAAGGTGGAGCCTCGCCTGTGTTGACATTGTGACGCACCGTGTTAGTTACCGATCATGTTATAGTGTTTTCTTTGTTTGGTATTGTTTTAGTTGTGTGTGAGTGGTGTTTGTTTGTTTGTGTTTTTCGTGTGGAATATTTATTTCAGAGGAGAGTGTATATGAAGTTAAGAGTTTACCCCCAGTTTCTTGTATGTTTGGACCAGCGAAGTGTGTCGATTCGTTCTCTGTTTACAAGGATGTCTTATATAATTTTTGATAGAGAAAATAATATACCTTTAATTATGAAATATTTAAAAAAGTTTATTAAGTAAATTACAGAATAATTGAACGTTTTTTTACTATTATTTGATTAGAAAGATAAAAAATACGATGGTTCAAGTGATCGTGTCAGGCCAGGAGGCGGAGGAAGTTGTCAGGGAAAGTTGGTGGGAAAACTCTACGGGTTAGACACTCCAGGTACTGTTGAGAAAGTTGTTTAGTTGAGATGCATATAAATACTTCGTTCTCTCTGTGTTTATTTAAATTATTTTACTCTTATGTGTTACCTAAATGGGTAATGCAATTTTATTTGTGTTTTTAATTTTGGTGGATCTATTGTGTAAAGAAATAGTGTTAGAGTTTTATGGTAAAGAATAAAATGATTGGAGCACATGGGGTTAGTGCTATAGAGACTAATATCAATTAATCTGTTTCTATATACAGTATACGGTTCCTGTCCATTTAGTAGTCTGTTTTGTATTATGTTTCACTGTCAGTTCGAGTTTGTCTGTCTATTTGTTCTTGAATCATTTGAACCACACAAATAGTTTCATTGTGGAGCGAGACGTCATGGTGATGTTTTTGCTGTTATTGTTGTAGTGGCAGCAGTAATAGTACAAAGAAGTAATAGTTACTTAGTAGAACAAAGCTATTATTATTATTCTATTACCCGGCACTACAATTATATTACTTTAGTACCGTTATTTTGCTTTTTATCAGTACTGGTATTCCAAAAGTTTGCTCCCGACTTTATTGTTAACTGAAAAAATATATAAAAAGTATGAAGGAAAAAAAACGCTTGACAAGTCTCGACGAATTGTGCCAAATTGTGATAATCGTCAGCACAGTGTAAAAATAGTTAATGGTCCCAAAATGTAAAAATTTAGTCATTTGGTGGAGGGAGGGAGGGAGGCGGGGGGCTTTTTTCACTCGGCTCTAAATGTTTGGATCATAGGATGGTAGTCGCGTGGTATGGTTAGGGGTATGGCTGTTCCATCCTGGGGGGGGGGGATTAATTATCATGGAGGTATTTAGAAAGTTATTATTATTATCCTGTTTATTTTTATTTATTTTGTTATTTTTTTAAAGACCCTCGATCTGTTTGCCATCGAAGGTGGTGTGTCATCACCCGTGTCCAGAGGGTATTGTCATCACCATGTCCAGAGGGGTATTGTCATCAGAGGGTATTGTCCCGTGTCCAGAAGGGTATTGTCATCACCCGTGTCCAGAGGGTATTGTCATCACCCGTGTCCAGAGGGGTGTCATCACCCGTGTCCAGAGGGGTATTGTCATCACCCATGTCCAGAGGGGTATTGTCATCACCCGTGTCCCATCATGTCCAGAAGTCATCACCCGTGTATTGTCATCACCCGTGTCCAGAGGGGTATTGTCATGTGTATTGTCATCACCCGTGTCCAGAGGGGTCATGTGTCATCACCCGTGTCATCACCCATGTCCAGAAGGGTATTGTCATCACCCGTGTCCAGAGGGGTATTGTCATCACCCATGTCCAGAAGGGTATTGTCATCACCCATGTCCAGAGGAGTATTGTCATCACCCGTGTCCAGAGGGGTATTGTCATCACCCATGTCCAGAAGGGTATTGTCATCACCCGTGTCCAGAGGGGTATTGTCTCTCACCCGTGTCCAGAAGGTCAAAGGTCAAGTTCACGGGTTAAAAAGACTTTATTGAATCCTCTGCGAATTTTACGAGTATTGATTTTATTATTTTACCTTTGTTATTCTTCTTTTTCTTCTTCGTTTTTCTTCTCTCCCTCTTTTGTTTTTACTCTTATGACCCGGAGCCTGTTCTCCCCTCCTCCTGCTCTTCCTCTTCTTTCCCTTATTCCTTCTCTTTCCTGTATTTCCCTTCCCCCTTCTCCTCCTCTCCTCGTACTCCTCCCACCTCCTCTTTCCGGTATTTCTCCTCCTCCTCTACCCTTCCATCCTCCCTTCCTCTCCTCTTTTCCCTCCTCCCCTCCCTCATCCTCTTTCCCTTATTCCTCCCTCCTCTCCTCTTTTTCCCTCCTCCCCTCCCTCATCCTCTTCCTTATTCCTCTTCCTCCTCCTCCTATGGTTGCAGAAGTCTTCTTTTCCTTCTCTTTCCTATCCTCCTCTTCTCTTACATGACCAAGAAGAGACTGTAAACAAGAGGGGTAGGGGGAGTGTGTGTGTGGGGGGGTGGGGGGGGACTCATGATGTATTATGTTACCAATACAAATTCCTCTTCTTGGTTACTGTCTGATTGAACCGAATATTGTATGATGTATTACTGCAGCGTTCTGGAGTCACGAAGGCAGGGGAATGTTGTGTGTGTGCGTCTGTGTGTGTCTGTGTGCGTGTGTCTGTGTGCGTGTTATTGGAAGACGATCTGATCCCACTAGAAGGAATATCCGATCTTCACTTTTTTCTTGATATTTTTTTTTTATTTTTTTTTTATCTTTTGGTTTAATTTTTTCTTCTCATTTATTGTTTTTACGTTACTTAGTTAAATTGTGTGATATGATTGTAACATTGTCCATAGGTCTGTCTGTCTGTCTGTCTGTCTGTCTACCTGTCTGTCTGTCTGTCTGTCTGTGTCTCGGTTAACTATTTATAGACTATTATTATTCAGGAAGTTGTTGACGGAATTGGTTTATTGTTTTAGTATCCGTTTTTGTTTTCGTGAATCTGTAGGGGCCACACACGCACACACACACACACACACACACACACACACACACACACACAGGTTTTAAACAACAATCTCTCACCAGCTTTAAATCCCCTTCGAAAAAGATTTTGCTATACGTTGATTGGCTGTTGAAATTAGGGCACGGATGCTGATTGGCCGTTAATGATACGGCCTGGTGATAACTGGCTAATTTTCTCCCCTTAATTGAGCCAATCACAAGTCAGGGATTCTCTCTGGCTCGTACCTCCCTTAGGACACACCGGCGTGACATAGGTGAATCATGGTGCCATATACTAAACGTTGTATATAGAGCATAAGATGTTTTAGTCTCAATTAATTAGCCTATCCAGTGATAATTAGGCCTTGTAAAAAAAATAAATCATGTTTCAGTGTTAGATAGTAGCTGTTGGGAATTTTAGCCTTCAAATTTATTCATAATTTTAACCCTAAGACATTTAGAACTTGGTGTCTTTTTTATATCATCGTTATTGTGGTTTTCTTTGTTGTTTTAAGACTGAAATATGTTACAATGTGTAGAGAATTTTGTAAAACTCGTGTGATGTAAGAACTTGGGTATTAATGCTGGGTAAAATGAGGGTGATTTGCTAGCTTGGAGGATTTGTGCTAACTTTAGATTAAGGCCATGAGCAGCTCTAGGATATCATCTGTGAGGAGATGGCAACACCTGGGGTGGGGATGTGGTGATAATGGTGATGTTCTTAGCTGGGGTGGAGGTGATAATGGTGATGTTTTAGCTGGGGAGGTATAATGGTGACTGTTGGGGTGGGTGATAATGGTGATGTTCTTAGCAGGTTATAATGGTGATGTTCTTAGCTGGGGTGGAGGTGATAATGGTGATGTTCTTATGGGGTGGTTAGATGTTCTTAGCTGGGGGAGGATAATGGTGATGTTCTAGCTGGGGTGGAGGTGATAATGGTGATGTTCTTAGCTGGGGTGGAGGTGATAATGGTGATGTTCTTAGCTGGGGTGGAGGTGATAATGGTGATGTTCTTAGCTGGGGTGGAGGTGATAATGGTGATGTTCTAGTGTGAGGATAATGGTGATGT